CATGGTGTGGTGGATCCATCCTGCCTTGTATCAACGGTTCAGGCTGATGGTGTCATGGTGTGGGGGAGATTTTCTTGGCAGTAGCAAGGTGGACCTAATAAAGTGGCCGGTGAGTGTACGTATATGTGTAATATCAATGGCTTCCAGTTGGAAAAAAAAAAACATTTCAATAAGTTTGTCCCCCTTTAGATGTGTTTCTCTCCACATTAGAGTTTGAATGGCCAATGTGGGACCCTTTATAGTAGGTAGTTCAGGCTGGTGGTGGTGGGTCATGGTGTGGTGGATCCATCCTGCCTTGTATCAATGGTTCAGGCTGGTGGGGTGGTGTCATGGTGTGATAGATCCATTCTGCCTTGTATCAACGGTTCAGGCAGGTGGTGTCAGGGTGTGATAGATCCATTCTGCCTTGTATCAACAGTTCAGGTTGGTGGTGATGGTGTCATGGTGTGGGGGAGATTTTCTTGGCAGTAGCAAGGTGGACCTAATAAAGTGGCCAGTGAGTGTACGTATATGTGTAATATCAATGGCTTCAAGTTGGAAAAAAAAAACATTTCAATAAGTTTGTCCCCCTTTTAGATGTGTTTTCTCTCCATGTTAGAGTTTGAATGGCCAATGTGGGACCCTTTATAGTAGGTAGTTTGGGCGACAAAGTCGTTATTTCTCTCCGAGCTAAAAGAAGAACTGTATGTATCCATTGGGTCATTGTTCTGAAGACTTGAGATGTAGGTGACCAATAGCTTAATAAATGAATCAGTGCGAGCAAAGTACGTTTCTGGACCACACTGATATTTCCTCTAATTTTCATGGCATACATATTTGAAGTGGAGTCTAAGACTAAGACCGAAAATCGGGAATGAAATGCACCTAAATCAGCCACCTCGACACTACGGGTTTTTCTGAGCCAAGCATCACCTTATCAGATTTTAGTTATATGTGGTTAGATTGGAAAAAAAATCACTTCTGATTGGTTGTTTGGGGAAAAAAAACTGTCTCCATTTGAAGGTTTTCCCTCCTTTCCTTGTCCTATGACATTAAAATGTTAGATTTTAGCTCACGTTCCATCCCAGTGACATTGGTGACCAAGACAAATATGACTTATAGAGACACATATAGCAATAAAAACCACACAGTGGTTTTAGTTCTTCCACACCCCACCCGAAAATTTTTAAAAAAGTTGGCTTTAGATACACTTTGAAGTTGGAGGATGGTGGGCGGAGCCATGCACTATCCTATCATAGCTTTTGGGAACTGAAAGAAAGATCTCTCTGCCACATTTCCCAGCTCTGGATTTTTGGGCGTCTCGGTCCACCTTGGTTTTTCCAACTTCTAACATTACAAGCTGAGCATTAAAATATATTTAAATCCAGCAGAGAAAGCCTTGTAATGGGAACAGGGAGACACAAGTGCAAATATCTCACCAAAGTACCCAATAAATATTACGTTTGGGTGGACTTGCCCTTTGATAAAACGGCTAATCGTGTGTGAAAGAAACACTCAGCAGTAGCTGCTGGTGTATATCAGGCAATGCCTGTAGGCAATATTCATTAGGAGGTCATCCGCTGAGCTGAGGCTTGAATGGGGGGGTAGCAAGATTAGCAAGTTGTCTGAGGTTGTATTGGACCTGTCCGTTTATGATCATTTTTTTGTGCTGGGGACCAGTTTCCAAGCTTATGAGTTAGGTGACTTGGTATCAGAGTGGCCAGCAGGAATCTTGGCGAAGTATGAATTGTAGAAGGAGCCAGTCATGTGTGGGTTGGAGCCTTCAGAGGAAGAGGACCCAGATGTGCCAGGGTTGTAAGCAACGTTGGAGGAACCAGCAGAAGACCCAGATGTGCCAGAGTTGTAAGCAGTGTTGGAAGAACCAGCAGAAGACCCAGATGTGCCAGGGTTGTAATCAGTGTTGGAGGAACCAGCAGATGACCCAAATGCACCAGGGTTATAAGCAACGTTGGAGGACCAGCAGCAGATGACCCAAATGTGCCAGGGTTGTAAGCAGTGTTGGAGGAACCAGCGGATGACCCAAATGCACCAGGGTTATAAGCAACATTGGAGGAACCAGCAGATGACCCAAATGCACCAGGGTTATAAGCAACGTTGGAGGAACCAGCGGATGACCCAAATGTGCCTGAATTATAAGCAGTGTTGGAGGAACCAGCGGATGACCCAAATGTGCCAGAATTGTAAGCAACATTGGAGGAACCAGCAGGGTTCATAAATGTACCAGGCCTAAAAACAACATTGGAGGAACCAGCAGGGTTCATAAATGTACCAGGCCTATAAACAACATTAGAGGAACCAGCAGTGGACCCAAATGAGTTATAAACACCTTTAGAGGAAGTTGGTGGGCCAGAATTATAAACAACATTAGAGGAACCAGAAGAACCCGAGGTGCCAGAATTATAAACTACATTAGAGGAACCAGGTGTGCCAGAATTATAAACAATGGGAGGAACCAAAAGAGGACCCAGATGTGCCAGGGTTATAAGCAACATTGGGAGGAACCAGCAGAAGACCCAGATGTGCCAGAGTTATAAGCATTGTTGGAGGAACCAGCAGAAGACCCAGATGTGCCAGAGTTATAAGCATTGTTGGAGGAACCAGCAGAAGACCCAGATGTTCCAGAGTTATAAGCAACGTTGGAGGAACCAGCAGGGGACCCAGATGTGCCAGAGTTATAAGCAACGTTGGAGGAACCAGCAGGGGACCCAGATGTGCCAGAGTTATAAGCAACGTTGGAGGAACCAGCAGAAGACCCAGATGTGCCAGAGTTATAAGCATTGTTGGAGGAACCAGCAGAAGACCCAGATGTGCCAGAGTTATAAGCATTGTTGGAGGAACCTGCAGGGGACCCAGATGTGCTGGAGCTAGAGGTAGAGGAGTAATTGTTGGAATAGTTTCCAGAAGAACTGGTAGATGAGTAGATAGTTGAGTGAGTAATGGAGTTAGTGGTGGAGCTGCTAGCTGGACCGCTGGCTGAACCACTAGCTGGACCGCTGGCTGAACCACTAGCTGGACCGCTGGCTGAACCACTAGCTGGACCGCTGGCTGAACCACTAGCTGGACCGCTGGCTGAACCACTAGCTGGACCGCTGGCTGAACCACTAGCTGGACCGCTGGCTGAACCACTAGCTGGACCGCTGGCTGAACCACTAGCTGGACCGTTGGCTGAACCACTAGCTGGACCGTTGGCTGAGCCACTGGCCAAACCGTACGTAGAACCACTGGCTGAACCGCTGGAAGATCCACCAGCCATACCACTGGCTGAATTAGCGGCAGAGGCACCGCTATTATTGGCAGCAAAAGATGACACGTCTTCCAAAGTGTTGCAGAGCTTGTTGGTGCAGCAGACTGTGTCATGTTTCATTCCTGGGATGTTGAAGTCACTCTGTAGGCAGCTTTTAATGCAGTCTCTTGTAAACACATCCTTTCCATCTACAAAATAAATGAGAGAAAATGACTCTCGCCACAATGAACACAAAGTGCAGATCTTAAATCCTACATAATTCAAATGCATGAGGAAAAAAAAAGCCTTTTCTGTCATTCCTTTAGAAAGTGTCAGCTGGAGTTGGTCCTACGTTGTTTCTCTGCTGCTTAAAGTCCTTCTGAAGCTGCGTGGAGCTCCATCTGAACATCTGAAGTGCTGGAGTTGGTCCTGCGTTGTCTGCTACCTTTCTCTGCTGCGTTGTTTCTCTGCTGCTTAAAGTCCTTCTGAAGCTGCGTGGAGCTCCATCTGAACATCTGAAGTGCTGGAGTTGGTCCTGCGTTGTTTCTCTGCTGCATAAAGTCCTTCTGAAGCTGCGTGGAGCTCCATCTGAACATCTGAAGTGCTGGAGTTGGTCCTGCGTTGTTTCTCTGCTACCTAAAGTCCTTCTGAAGCTGCGTGGAGCTCCATCTGAAACATCTGAAGTGCTGGAGTTGGCCCTGCGTTGTTTCTCTGCTACCTAAAGTCCTTCTGCTGCATAAAGTCCTTCTGAAGCTGCGTGGAGCTCCATCTCCATCTGAACATAAATCCTTCTGAAGTGCTTCTGAGTTGGTCCTGCGTTGTTTCTCTGCTACCTAAAGTCCTTCTGAAGCTGCGTGGAGCTCCATCTGAACATCTGAAGTGCTGGAGTTGGTCCTGCATTGTTTCTCTGCTACTTAAAGTCCTTCTGAAGCTACATGGAGCTCCATCTGAACATCTGAACCAGAGCGACCAGGGCTGTCGCCAAAAGAGTGCCCAGGTTCATGTTTGCCACTCCCTAGGTTTTCACCAACCTAACCTAACCCCCCCTTCCCCCCATGCTACCCCATTTTTGCTGCCCCCTCCCTTTCGGTTAGTTTGATGCTGGCACGGCAACTAATAACACTGCGGCTCAGCTGCTAGTGTCTTAGCAACCAATGATTCTGTAGCCCAACTGCCAGCATCCTAGCAACTAATGACTGTGCAACATGGGTTGCTAGGACACAGGTGGCTGGGCTGTACATCCCAACCATCAGCATCCTAGTAACCAGATTGGCAATGCTACAGCAAGGATGAAGTGTCCCATATGGACACCCAAGCACAGTTCTGATGCCTCCAAGTGCCTCAGTTGCCTCACTTTGTCCTATTGGTGGCACACTCCTGGCTGTCACCCTGCTACAGGGAGTGAGCAATCCATAGATCTGCGCACAGCATCCGCCATGTTGTAACGCAGATCCTGGGGAGGACCCTTAAATAGCCCATTTTGTCATAGGTCTGCCTGTTCTCGGTGCACACTTCAGACCAAAGTGAGTCCATCCTTGGAGTTCCCACTATTCCTCTGCTGAGTTCCTTCATCTGTACACCTTCTGTGCCCATTATGAGGGGTTCTCACCATCCCTGTGCTGAGTTCCGGGGTCTGTACACCTTCTGTGCCCATTATGAGGGGTTCTCACCATCCCTGTGCTGAGTTCCGGGGTCTGTACACCTGCTGTGCCATTATGAGGGGTTCCCACCATCCCCAGTTCTGGGTCTGTATGCCTTCTGTGCCCAGGATGAGGGGGTTCTTACCATCCCTGTGCTGCATTGCCGGGTCTGTACACCCTCTGTGCCCATTATGAGAGGTTCCCACCATCCCTGTGCTGAGTTCCCGGATCTGTACACCCACTGTGCCCATTATGAGGAGGTTCCCACCATCCCTGTGCTGAGTTCCCGGGTCTGTACACATGCTGTGCCCATTATGAGGGGTTCCCACCATCCCTGTACTGAATTCCCGGAGCTGTATACCCGCTGTGCCCAATATGAAGGGTTCCCACCATCCCTGTGCTGAGTTCCCGGGTCTGTACACCTGCTGGGCCCATTATGTGGGGTTCCCACCATCTCTTCACTGAGTTCCTGGGTCTGTACACCTGCAGCATACACAAGACCTGTAGGGCCCCTCCAGGGTGACCTTCATTGTGATTGGGTGATTATATAAAATGAAGAATATTGGTTGCAGTAGCGGCTCCAACCTGCAGTCCACAGATGTACAATCTTGCAGTATATGATCACATTTGTTGTACACTCACCTCGTTTGTACTTGGTGCTGATGCAGGCATTTTGTCCCGGCAGACAGGTCTTCAACTCCCAGCAGTTTGACTTTTCGGTTTGATCTTTGCAGAAGAAACATTGCAGGGAGCAGCTCACTGCACAGAGATCAGAGGAAAGCAGCTCAGTCAGGGAGAACACAATGATCGTAGATGTAGAACTATACTGGGTGACATATAGGGGGCCACAGAGGGAGATACCAAATCACATAAGTAAACAAGTCGTAGTGACCCAAAACTGCCACTAGATGTCACCAGATTACAGAACACTAAAAAACCGGACACTATTCAATACAACACTGAAAAAAAATATATTAGTGAGACAGAACAATAGTCTTGATCATGGGGGGAAAATCGCTCAGTACGGGGCAGGGGTGGACTGACAACTCATGGGGCCCCTGGGCAATAGGGGATCATGGGGCACCTGTGTCCTCACCCACACTCAAACCACACCGAAAAAAGCTTATGAAAGGTACCAGGGGCATCTCATGGGGCCCCCTACTGACCCGGGCCCTGGGGCAGTGCCCAAGTTCCCAAATGGTCAGTCCGCCCCTGATACGGGGCTACAATGAGCCGAGCTAAGAGTGCATTGGTGTTATATGTGAAATTAAAGGAGTAGTTCAGCCAATACCAGGGAATGTGTCCTGAGGTGCAAACCTGATCTACCTAGGAGTTGGTGGTGTCTAGCTGGAATCAGGTGTGTACTCCTGGTGGTGGGTTTATCCCCCCCCCCCTTATACTGTGTCACACTCCAGGTGTCCCCCATGTCTGATGGGCCTCAGGCATACAGACTGACCTCGGAACCCTAGCCTGGGCCGAGGAACATGCAGAGCCCTGTGGGAGACTTGTCCCCTGGGTGTAAAGAGGGTCGTGTGGAAGTGGATTAGGGGGATATCACCATCCATGTAAACTGCACCCGGATCTTAGTGTTCTGTAGTATGGTGACATCTAGTGGTAGTTTTGGGCTGCTACATGTTGGGGCCACTACCCCTCCTGTTTAGTACTAGTGTAGTACCCTCCTAGTTTAGCTAGGGGGGGGGGGGGCTGATGTTTAATTGTCAGTGAGGAAGGCTGTGTAGCATCCTCGGTGTAATATCCAGAAGATCAAATCATGGTCAGGAGCTGAGAGGCTCTGCAGGCCGGCACCTCTGGAATTTCCTCCTGCCCTTGGGCTAAGGAGGGAGGCAGTGGGTGGATCTGAGGAGCGGCTGGTTGCACTCTTGAGGGACCCTATCCAATGCCTAACAGAAGGCTTGACAAGAGGTTGGGACACCCTTAAAAGTGTTGGAGACTGCTCAGTGAGTTCAGGTGGAAGATGGTGGACAAGATGTGAGGCTGAGGGCAGGAGGCTGCAAGGCGGACCAGTGGGATGGGGACTACCTGCAGGCCTGGAGCTGGAAAGGAGGAAAGCTCAGAGCTCACCAGCCCCCAGAACGAGGACCACCTGTATGGCAGGGAAGGAGTGGCCCAGCTGACAGGCCTCTTTGCAGGATCCAACCCATACTGGTTGATACCAGAGAGGATCTGAGTGCGTAGACCTGCACCCCCTGAGCAGATAGGGGAAGGAGCACTCTGGGGGGAAAACCAGAATAGTCCTCTGCTAGTGACTGATCACCTAGTTTAAAGGGACAGGAACCAGATCCCCTGTTCAGGGGTATCTCCAGACTGCTGGGTGAAGGGGAGAAGTTCATCTGGGGTCTGGGGTGGTGCACTAAGGAGACGCTGGCTGCCTCTCCAATATAGACTGTGTTGCAGTGAAGTCTTGGGAACAGTTGCACCCGTTTCTGTTTCAAATGCCGCTTTGTCCATTGACGTAGCACCATCGATGGTGGTTCTTGGGATAGGAACTGGCTGAACAAACCCAGCCCCAGGGATCGATCTGGAGATTCGGCCACATGTTACACCTATGGAGGAGGCCGCTTTCTCTCCTCTCCCACCACTGACACCCAGCATGGGATCCCTGCAGGGAGGTTTCCCTCATCGTTCCTGTGTGAGCTCCAGCTATGACAAGCCTGCGTTCACACAGGGGCAGTGCAGAAACCGCATGCGATGAATCGCATTCCTGTTCAAATCGCATGATATATCAAATCCATTAATGCAAATTGTACCACAAAGTGTCGGTTATTTTATGCATCACTTTACATATATATTGTACATTCACATTGGTCCCCGCCCCCGAGGAGCGTACAATCTAAGGTCCCTAACTCACATTCATACATACACATACTAGGGATGATTTAGACAGGATCCAATTAACCTACCAGCATGTCTTTGGAGTGTGGGAGGAAACCGGAGTAACCGGAGGAAACCCACGCAGGCACAGGGAGAACATGCAAACTCCAGGCAGGTGGTGCCGTGGTTGGGATTCGAACCAATGACCCGAGTACTGCCAGGCGGAAATGCTAACCACTCACCACTGTGCTGCCCATATCAGAAGTATTTTCACGAGTGCAAGTACACATGAAAATACTCGGTATCGGTGCATCCCTAATAATGATAATAATAAAAATAAAATACTATTAAATAAACATCATAACCATAACAGTAAATAATTAAATAATAGAACTAATAAGATTTATTATTAATAATAATGATAATATTTTTTTCTTTTGGGGCTGGGTGTTAATAATAACAATAACAAAATATTAATAAACACCCAGACCCAAAGAAAAAAAAATATTTTTATTATTATATAATATATAATTATAATAATCATAATAATACTAATATGTGATTAATTTAATTATTATTATTAATTATTATTAATAATAATAATAATAATTTATTTTATTTTATTAGGGTTAAGGGGTTAAGTTTAGGGGTTAATTACTATTTATTTATTGATGGATTTATTATTACATATTATTAATTTATTTTATTTATTTATGATGATTAGAATTTGTGTATTTATTTTACATTTATTTATGCATATATTATTACAATTTTTTTTTTTTTTTTTTTTAATTTCTTCATTTGAGCAGAAAATGAGCAAATCACGCATTTCCAGTCGATTCTATGGAGCTCACAAACGCGAAAATGTGCCCGATTGGAGTGAGAAAAAAAAGCTGCAGAACTTGTTTGAGCTTCAGACATTTGTCTTCGGGCGACTTTGGAGTGGAGATGTGAACCGTCTCTATTGAGAATAATTTTTTTTTTTCCTCCTGGAGTGTTTTTGAGCTTCGAGCCACAAATCGCTGAGGTGTGGATGCGGCCTGAGCCTCTTTGGGAGCTGAAGGTCCTCGGCCAGCACTGTAGAGGGGCAGGGGCGGACTGACTATTTGGAAACTCGGGCACTGCCCGAGGGCCCGGGGTCAGTAGGGGGCCCCATGAGATGCCCCTGGTACCTTTTTCATAGGCTTTTTTGAGTTTGGGCAAGGACACAGGGGCCCCATGATCCCCTACCGCCCCATAAGTTGTCAGTCCGCCCCTGACCTTAACATTTTCTTTCAGACAGGTATAATTATAGGAACGATTATTTACCATCCTCTCCCCGTCACACACCTGATTGTTCTCTTGTATAGAGACGTGCCGTGGGGTGCCGGGTTGGGTGCCGGGTTGGGTGCCACGATGAACCAGTCTATCTGCTACCTGACGCTGCAAGCTCCACCAAGCTGGAATTCCACTCAGGAAGACAAGGCTCTTGTCGGAGAGAACATGTTTTATGGGATCTTCATCAGGGGGCATAACGGCCAAATCTTGATGGCCCCCTCGCCCAATGCCCTCCCTACCAGGGGCAGACTGACCATTTGGAAACTCGGGGCACTGCCCGAGGGCCCGGGGTCAGTAGAGGGCCCCATGAGATACCCCTGGTAACTTTTTCATAGGCTTTGAGTTTGGGTAAGGACACAGGGGCCCCATGATCCCCTATTGCCCCGGGGGCCCATGAGTTGTCAGTCAAAATGATGCAGCAGGCGGGTCCATGTTGGTGAAATGTCATTGCCATACTTGTCAAGACCATTACTGCGCATGTGAGGCCAAACCTTCTGAGTCCCAGCTGGGAGCACCAACCTCAGGGTGGCTCCAGGAGACACTGCATGGTCGCAGAGCCACCCTACAGTAGGATGTGTGATGGACATAGACTATGTAGACGATGATTTTGGAAGGAATTTTGTCCCCTGCAGGAGCAAATTGCATCGTGCTTTGCTGGGTTTTTTGCCTTCATCTGGATCAACTGTGGGGGTAGGATTATAACTTAACCACCTCCCGTCCGGCCCATGTATATAAACGGCCGGACGGTGGCACTGCAGGGGCGGGTTGCCATTCATAAATGGTGCCCGCCATTTTGGACTGTGCGCACTCCCTGGGAGCACGTAGAACTGCCATCCAGTGCCCACTGTGTCCTGAGGACACAGCAGAACACCGATCATTGTACAGGACCTCTGTGTGAGGTCCCAATCATGTGATCACTGATTGGCCAATCAGTGATCACATGAAGAGTAGTAAGTAAAAAAAAAATCTTCATCACCCCCCACAAGTAGTACAGTGTCACTATGGTGACCCACACTGCTAGGGTGACAGTATGTTAAAAAAATAAATAAATAATAATGTAAAAAAATAAAATAAAAATGTAAAATAAAATTTTTTTTTTTTTAGTTATAATTTTTGGTTATAAACTAATTTGGGTTTATATTATGGGAATACAGTGTTGCATGACCGCGCAATTGTCATTCAAAGTGTGATAGTGCTTGAAAGCTGAAAAATGTCCCTTGGCAGGAAGAGTGGAACTTGTGTCAGTGTTGACTATATCGGGGGGTGAAAGTGTCTCCCCGGACTGGAAGGGGGGGTGAAAGTGTCCCGGATGGAGAAGGGAAAGTGTTCCGGACTGGAATAGGGGGGGGGGAGGAAGTGTCCGGACTGAAGGGGGGGGAAAGTGTCCGGACTGGAAGGGGGGGGGAAAGTGTCCGGACTGGAAGGGGGGGGGGGGAA